TCCTTCCTCAATGCTGAAGCTACCCTGGACTTAGAGGATGTCTCATGAAGACAGATAAAGATACTGGGGTTTCAGCATGTGTGGTGAGAGGAGGGCCGGGTGGTGGGGGCAGAAGCATTGCATGCGGGCTCTGGAGTCAGACCACTCAACAGAACCCCTTCAAGTGAGCAGATCCGGTGCCGAGAACTTCAGACTGCTACAGGCTGTAGACATGGCTGGGGTCTATTTCTGTATCTCCGAGGCATGTGGGGTACAGACAAGATTGTGACTGTTGACTAAGTGAGAGGAGCAAGCTTAGCAGCTCCAAGCAACATTGAGGACTCTGCAGCTCCTTCCAATTTCCTTCTAGCATCATGCCAAGAGGAAGTAGCATTTGTGACATTCACTCAGGAGTGGCCAGCCGGCCCCAGGAGGGGAGGCCTGTGCTAGATCTGGATCTCTGGGGAAGGAAATTGTGATGCTGTCTGATGGCCAAGGAGAGCAAGCGGACCCTGGTGCTGTTTTGCGTGTTCAGCTCTCCACCGCGGAGCCTCACTCTGATTTGGAAATTCTGTCACATACTTTGGCTACAGAGTGGGCATCCGGTAGAAGAGTACAGAAAAAAGGGAAGTGTTCTGTCTGTCTGTAAGTAGGGAATGGATGGAAGTCAGAGAGTGGGACAGGAAGTGACAGAGAATGGATGGGGCGGGCACTCAAACTCCTGTCCTATTGAAGAACAAATGGTTCACGCATGAGCAGAGTGGATGCTATTTCTAAGGCCACAGTGCACCCCCTCAACACACACACACAGTCTGCAACCCCACAGCTTCTGAGCAGGCTCTCTATATTTTCTGGATAAAGTCACTGGTAAGGGACAGAATGAGAAGGGAAGCAGATGCCCAGGACACCCTCCCGTGGCTTCTCATCTGCAGCACGCACCTTTCTTCTTTCTGCTCAGAGGCTGACACTGTGTAAGAGAAGTAGATTTTTCTCCTCTGATTATCCACGGAACCCAGAGGCTGACACTGCCCATACCTCTCAATGGGAAGAGAGCAGTTTCGTTTCTGTTTTCCTCTTCCTTCTCCTGTGGACTTCCAGTCAGAAGAGGCTGGAGGGGCCACTGCTCTTCAGAAACTCTCCTTACCTGCTCATCAACTCTGCTGATTGTTTTTCCTGCCTGGATGGTGACGGGAGGGCAGGCATTTCCCCTTGGAAAATCACCCCATGCTCTCACTCAGCTTCTTAGGAAAGTGGCCACCTGGGTGTTGACAGTCTCCTGCTACTCACTGGTGTGCTTAGACATAATCCTTCATTATAGGAACAAATCAAAAACCTTGTTATTAGCTCTGAAACATGCCAGTGCATGCATTCCTTCCATGGAGGCATGCTGCTGAGGACATTCGGGAACGTGGCTCCCCTGCCCTGGGGCCATGGCTCATTATGTTCTCTCTTGAGACCCCCTCACTCTGATTGACAGCTCTACAGCCCCTTAGCATAAGGGGGATTGCATTTGATTCCTGCTTTGCCTAGAGGGCTGACAGGCCAAGAGGGTACAGGGTTAATTCATTTGCCCAGCTTAGGTTCAAATCCCACTGCACACAGATATGGATCGGATGAATGCAATCAATTTAGCATTTTAACAGACAGCTCCCCATCCCACCAGCACCTCCTGGGTTCACAGGACACATACTTGGAGCTGGAAAGAATGAGTGAGCTTTGTGGTCAGAATAGTAGAAACTGTAAATATCCCAAAGTCCATCGATGTTCCTAGTTTAATGAACTTTAAAAAATAAATCAATCTTCTAATAATAAAATAAGTCTTTAAAGAGTTCTATTACTCCTTTGGGAGGGATAAAACATGTCAGTCCACAGAGCAAAAGAACCTAAGCAACCTAGCAACTCAGCGGCATTTCGGGTCTGGCCCATCCAAGTTTAATGTCACGTGACTGATGACCAAGCTGTGTGTGGCATGTATTCTTTTATGTCATGAAAAGAGAGAAGCCCCTCCATTCTTTCAGCTTTAAACATAGTCAGGAACTTACTGAGTATAGGATGGAAGTCTGTCCACTGGGGGATGTGATCACGTCACTCTGGTGTCACTTCATTGAAGCCAACTGACTATTAGTTGTAGGACAGGTTCTAGAGCCACATTGCCTGGGTTAAAGTCTCTTGATGAGTAGTGGGCGAAGTTTGTTAGCATCTCTGGGCCGCTCAGTGCCTCTGCTGTAGAACGAAGGTTAATAACATTGCCTGCCTATAAGAATGAGATTAGAGTGAATACGTGTGCCAGTAGCGTGCATGCTGAATTTTGGGGAGGTGTGACAATGTCATCCACTACTGAAGAGAGATGTACATGATCAGACACCAAAGACAGGAATCAAGACCATGCTGTGCCTGAGGCGTCGCAGAGTTTTCCAAATGCTGAGACCATGTACTTGTAGAATTCCAGTGGTGTTGGATAAAGCCTGGAGTTTTCCCAGGGTCTTCATGGGTAAGATCAAGTAGGAGCTCCTCCCACTTTTGTCTTATTGGACAGCACAGCTCTTAAAGAGAGCTGAGGCTACGGCACAAAGGGAGGAACTATGGACCCCAGTCCCGCCACCAGCCGACAGCGTCACTTGGGCTCTTTCCTCCACATTCCTGAGCCCTGGTTTCCTTTGAAAAGGAAAGGTTTGCATGACTTTCAAGTCTTGTACCCATTCTCCCTCTCTTCTATATGCCCAAAGGTGAACTGCATCAGGGAGACTCTGGTTCAAGTCTTGGCCAGGCAACTTGACTTCTTGAAACATCACCTTTTTTCTTCTGTAAAAGAAAACAAAACCCACTAAAGATAATATCTGCTTTCTAGATTGAGTAGCCTTACCCAAATAGCCTTCAGAACACGAACTGCTCCACTCCCACCCTCCCTTTTACCACACAAAGTCCTGGGGTCCTGTCACATCACTCTTGTTTTTACCTAAGAGTTTGTAGCGTCTGTGGTGGTTTGAACCAGAATGGTCCCCAGAGGTTCATACATTTGTCCTCAGGTGGTGAAACTGTTTGGGAAGGATTGGGGTGTGGCCTTGTTGGAGAAGGTGTGTCCTTGGGGGTGGGCTTTGGGGTTTCAAAAGACTGGTGCCATCCCAGTGTCTTTCTCTCTTTCTGCCTTGTAGTTGTGTCTCAAGATGTGAAATCTCAGCTACTGGTCCAGTGTCATGCCTGCCTGCTGCCATGCTCCCTGCCGTGATGGTCATGGACTCAATCCCTCTGAAATGGTGAGCTCCGAATAAACTCTTTCTTCTAGAAGTTGCCTTGGGTATGGTGTCTGATCACAGCAATAGAAAAGTAGCTAAGGTACTTTGATATAATGCAGATAGAGTCACACTGGGACAATCTGATTTTTCTTGGAAAAAAAAAAAAAGACAGCAGAGTTCTGCTTTTCATTCCAGGCTTCACATGTTGACATATAAGGATACAGCTCAATAGTTGATTTGGTTTGAACCACATATTACGTACCTCATAGAGTGAGTTATAGCTTACATGGTTCTTCCAGCCTGTGGCCTTAACCTGAAGAGCCCAGCATTTGTCTTGCTTCTCTGCCTGACATACACCAAATGACATTTCCTCCCATGATTCCTAGGACCTGGAAATGTCACAGAAAATTCAAGAGCTAGGTAAGGACCAGATAAAGGGACACTTGATCCTTCCTGCATATCAACACCATGAAACGAGTTGTTACTACGACGAAGCTGTCTGATGGCGTCGGTGGCAACTGGTCAGTGAAAATGTTTTTTAATTGTGACTTGAATGTGTTTATCAACCTCACTTTGATATCAAAAAGACAGCAACAGAAACACAGGGAGCCTCGGTCCTCTGGGGAGAGCATTAGTCAGCTGTGAGAGCACAGGCCCTGGCAGATGGTCAGCCTTCTGAATCAGACATCGCAGCCACCACCGCACAGTGTCACAGCCAGCAATGAAGAGTGTTGTGTTGACATTAAACATCTTTATAATAAAATTACTAATTGATGACTAATACCACAGGCTTTTGAGTTGGGGGGAAATCTCATTGAACTGCTAAGTGGTTGGCAGCGTATTTAGTAATTAAACACTACTTTTACAATTGTCCTGGTACCATACCATGGCTTCCGAAGATGCTCTGCTGGTGAGCCGATTGCCTTAAGACTCCTAAGCACAGCCTCCAAAAGCTATTTTTAAACATTGAGATCCATCATAATATCTCAGTGGCTGTGTTCCTATTTTTTTTAACATCTCTAATTATACAGTTTTACATTATGGTTTCCAGGACTGCCCCCCCTCCATATTTGGCAATTCCACAGCATCTGTCAAAACAAATTAGCACTTTGGGTGGTAGAAATATATTTTTTATGAAAGCAGCAAATGTGTCAGTATTGGACAGGAGCTAAAAGCTGATTTATTGGTTTGTTTTCTTGGGTTTCAGACCCAATGGGCAGAAGCCTTTAAGAGAATTTTCTAATGGTATCATCAACGCATTTGCAAAATGTGTAAAACACATTCAAATTCCGCCAGAAAGAGTCACTAATTATGATATGTATTTGCATATGTTTAATCACATACATCTTATTTCATTTTGCTGTTTCTGCAGGGCCCCTTGCTTCGAGGAGGGGGTCCTTAGCTCTGGTGCGGTGAGTGCTGAGCAAAGTTCTCTCGAGTGAGCTTTCTACCGCCACACTGTTAGGTGTGTGTGTGTGTGTGTGTGTGTGTGTGTGTGTGTGTGTGTGTTATCTTTTGCAATGAAATTTGAAATTTACAATATTTAAATGATGTGTGTGAAATTATATGACTCTATTATGTCATAATATTACACATCCCAAAATATTGGTAAAGGGTTCTTCCCCTTCACCAACCCCCCATACCAGAGATCAGAGCATGACTGAGAAAATAATGATTAACCTTTAAAATCAGGTTGGCATTTCTTTTTTCTCCCAATCTAGAATTAATACGCATTTTTTAATCATTAGTGTAATGTTCAGGATGATACTTTTGTTCTTTTGCCTGCTGAAGTGTTGCGGCTGCTAGTAACCCTTCAAATTGTTTGCTCCGTTCAAGCATTCTTCCCTGAATAATTCATTAGGCATTATTATCCAAGCGTGGAACCTCTCATTTAGCACTGCTGATCTTTTCCTTATGTGTAGCTGACAGGCAATCAAAGTTTTTATCAGTGCAGAAAATTTGCAATTCAGAAATGTAGTTGCAGCAATTAGTAGCTATCAGGTAGCCTTGGAAGGACAGCTTCATGAAAAGACAGAGCTGAATGAACTCCACTGATGTTAGCACAAAAGTAATGGCTGAAACTAACCAGCTGTTTCTAAATTTACCAAATGGAACATTCCCTTCTTCTCAGAGTGGAGGCTTTAATTAACTTGGAGTTCTGTGTGGCTTGCCAGAGGGGGCAGGGATTGGGGGAGGACCCTTCCCTCACATGGGTACCAATGGGAGGAAGCATCATCAGGCACCCCTCTAATCCTGTCCTGGAGGCAAAGGAGAAAATGACTGGCACTTTTTCCAGAGGATTCCAGGAGGGGGGATGCCTATGAGATGGTTTCTGGGTCCCCTTTATGGAATCTCAATGGGATAGCTTTAGATATTGCAATTCTGTTCGGCTTTGTGGGAGTGATTGGGGAGTGGGGGGAGAGAGCACTGGGGATGAAACCAGGGCCTCAAGCATGATAAATAATACATACTCTACCATTGAGTATAATACCTCAGCCTTGGTGCTGCTTGTAAATGTCTGTCCTTTGCCTATGAAATGTTGTCAGAGCCCAGGCTGGGCTGAGGCAAGACTAGGCTGTGTCTTATTCTTTCCTCCTGGTCATGCCTTTGTTCTTTCTTCCATTGATTAGCCGGGCTTGGTTCATGCATTCGTCCATCAGCTCATTTTTCTGTTCATTTGTTCTTCTAAACCCCAGCGTGGATGGAGGCGGTCCAGGGCTCCTGCTTCTCCAGCCCTCTCTGTGAGTCTGTGTGGGGCTCACAGGCTATGCCTCAGAACTCGATCTCAGGAACAGGTCTGAGCAGAGGCATGGGAGGGAGTTGATAGCAATTAAGGGGTGTTCAGCATCAGTTAGTCCATGGGTGAGACTCTCGGGCGGGGTGGGGGCCGAGGGGCGGTCTCTGAAACCACAGTGTGAAAGTGGTCTCTGCTCATGTCCACATGAGGCCGCTGCAGCAGTTCATTCCAGGACCTCTGACCTCCACCTCTTCATCAGTCCAGGAGAACCAGCACGCCAGCTAGCTTCTGGGATGCCTCTGCAGAGCAAGGCCAGCCTGTAGGGCCAAGTCCACGTAAGAGACGACCAGACAACCTGTGCTGTCCAGACCTGGACCTCCACATCTCATCTCATTGGTAGCTGGGTCAAACACTGGACTGGAGGACAGAATAAGGATACAGTACTTCTCAGTCAGACTGTAGAGTTGAATGGGCCCAATCTTGACATGAATTTTCTCATTTATAAAAGAGGACATTATTCCCCCTTTCATGTGAGATTTAAATACGGACTGTGGAGGTATGTTTAGCGTGTATGAGGGCCTGAGTTTGAGCCCTAACAGCAATAAATTAGTAAATGCCACTAGGGTGCGAAGTGCTTGGCGTGATTGGGCACGTGATAAATGTTTAGTAAATAGGATTCGGTATTATCACCGGGTACGAATTTCCTGAGGATAATGTCTTGACATGTTGAACACACAGGCTTGGGCTAGAGCACTAGGTTCGGAGCCTGCATGCACCTCTAATGTTCTCTGTGTGCTTGGACAAGGAAGCTCGCTTCTCGCAGGGGTTTCATATATAAAATGGTAATCCTAGCAGTCCAACCCTCTAGGTGTTCCAGAGCTTAAATGAACTAATTTGTATGTATAATTCTCGTGCAGGGGAGGTGACTCAGTGGGTCAAAGCACCTGCAGTCAAGCCTAGTGACATGAGTCTGATTCATGTGAAAGGAGAGAACTGACTTCCACAGTTGTCCCTTTACCTCCACACACACACTGTGGCATGCACATGACCCTCCCCAAAACACACACACACAAACAAAAGTCTCAGGATTGTGTCTGGCCTGAACAGCACTCCATGTGTTCATTATTCCTTTAAAATTATTGTCTCTTCAAGAGCTGAAGGATGTGTAGCCAGGAAAGGCTCTGAATAAATGTGTGCTGGACAAATGAATAAATTCCCTAAGCATCACACTTCCCAGCCCCTTGACTTTACACATAGAAACCTAAGGCTCACAGAGGCTCCACCAAAGCTGAAGACAAGAAAACCACCAGATTCCACACCATTCTAGACTCCTAGGCCCTCACATTCTGCTCACTCTCCACAGAGGACACCTTGGCCTGCAGCCTTAGAGCTCATGACCAGCAAAACACATTGCCAGCCTTTTGGATCCTGGTTCCCAGTTCTGGCCCCAGTTTCCCGTCTATATAAGAGGACAGAGAATGCTGTGGGGTTGGGAGGGCACTGCACCAGAGCTGTGACCTGGTTTCTGAGTTGGCGTTGAACTCTGGCAGGTCAATCCCTTCCCTAAGAACCAATGGCACAGACAAGCTCTGGTCTGCATCTTCTAGCCTGACCTAAGGTGATTTTGTGGGTCTGCATTCCCTCTGGTCTCCAGACAGCTCCATCCTGGGAGGGAAACAGAGGTCGCTCTCCCTACAGGATGCCGTGGTCATGAGGAACATCCAGCTAATGGACTACCTAATGGGCTTTGTCCTTGGTTTACTCAATACCATTCAGCCTCATGAGAAAAAGCCTTCTGTGCATTTCAATACAGGTTTGCACTTTCACATACAGGTGGAGAATGGTGATGGTTCACAAAGGGTTGTGATCCAGCAGTTACACTTCTGGACACACATCCAAATGAACTGAGAGGAGCGTTTCGAGGAGATATTTGAATATCTGTATTCATAGCAGCGTCATTCTCAATGCCTGAAAGGCAGGAGTAATCCAGGTGTCCTTTGACAGAGGAGCAGATAAACAAAATGTTACACACCATGTACACAATAGAATATTAGCACTGTAAAGGGGGTGCTCTGACACATGCTACAGCACGGATGGACTTGGGGGACATTTAATTAAGTGAAACAAACCAGTCACAAAAGGCAAGTGTCATGTAACGACTTGTCTGCGGCACCTAGGGTAGACTAATTCACAGATAAATGAAGTCGACTGGTGGCTACCAGGCCTGGAAGGAGGTCTAAATGTTCCATTTTACAGAATGAAGGAATATGGAAGAGTGGTTCATGACTTGTGAATGCATTTAAAGCTACTAAGATTTAGGCTTAAAAATGACAGTTTGTTCAGTTCCGGGCAGGAAAGCGAAGCAGTTATCCCAGGTCAGAGGAGAGGCCTGGGTTCTGTGGGTTCCACACTCTGCACCCTGAGAGATATGCAAGGGGCAGAGTGGGCAAGGCTGAGAAGAGAGTTCTAGGTCCAAATGCTTCAACTGGAACGGGCTTCTGACAGTCACAAGTGTTCCTGCTTAGACCAGTGAGACCTCCTCCTTTCCAGAAAGGTCTCACCTTGCTGAAGTATCAACTTTTACATCCGCCAGGTGGATTAACAATAAGCCAACTGGCATCTGCTGTCACCACTTTACTATGAACAGAACAGTTCCTACAGTGGAGTGTATTGCTGTTTTAGGGGGAAATGGCAATATCATCCTATCTTTTCACATGACTGATACACTCACCAGTACCCAAGGACCCCCACCATGTCAGCTGTAAAGCGGATCACCGTGTACTTGCTAATATAGTGATTAAAGCAAAATATGTGTGAATGGATTTCAAGTTATTTTTGACACATTTCAAGGTTATCCTATATGGTAACCACCAAACGTGTCCACATCTTGGTTACTGAGACCCACGGCTATCTTATGTGCCACAGCAAGTGGGGAAAAAAGGGTTAAGGCTGTCCATTGCCTGATGTTTAGATGGTGGGACATGGGACAGGACCCAGTGCAATCACACGGACTGTAAATAGAAGAGGGTGGAGGGAGGGAGGGAGAGAAATGTCAGAACTGAGAGGTGGCATTGTGAAAAAGAACCAGCCATTGTCACTGGCTTTGAAAATGGAAAGTCGCCACAAATCAAGAAACTAGTCGGCCTTTAAAAGCTGGGGAAACAAGGAAATTCTCCCCCTTGGAGCTTCCAGAAGAAATACAGTCAGCTAATACCTTGGCTTTAGCCACTGATGTCCATATTGGACATGTGGATCATGAACCTAGGACCTCATGCATTCTGGTCAAGCGCTGGACCACTGAGCTGCATCTCTGAGCAATCATGTTGGATTTCTGACCATGGGAACTGTAAGATAATAAACTTGTGTTGGTTTAGGCCACTCAGCTTGTGGTCGTTTGTTACAGCAACCATAGGGGACTGATACATACTTTAAGTAACCTTAAAAAAATAAATAAAAAGGAGCACTCCTGTTTTAGAGGACTTCTGATTAACGCCTTTTTTTTTTTTTTTTAGCCCATTTTCAAATAATGTGTTACTGGTAATGACTCAATTTCTGTTAAATGAGTTTTGAAACAGTTTGTAAACAGATTCAAGATTATTCTTCTAGTCATGTTATTTTCTAAATTGCTTCCCCTGAGCTGAAGAGAAAGGACTGAGTTGACATCCAAGGCCTTAGATATCCACAAATCAATGATGTAGTTGTTGTTTGTTTTGTTTTGCTTTGCTTTGGGTGTTTTGAGACTAGATCTCTCTACATAGCTCTGCCTGTGCTGGAACTATGTAGACCAGGCCAGCCTCAAACTCACAGGGATCTGCTTGCCTGTGCCTCCCAAGTGCTGGGATTAAAGGTGTGCGCCACCACGCCCTGCTCTTGTTTTTCTTTTTAATTGACTTTGTGTTGCATACTTTTCTCAGTATTGTAACTATACCATCACCTAAGACAGTGCGTGTGGAGAGTGGGTATTGGGATCTGAGCCTATCACTTATATGGCATTGATTACCCCCCAGAGTATATTGGACATTCTCATGCCATTGGTCAGGTATGTTGTTACCTGGCCTGGTTAAGGACCCTGCCTAGCATAATTCTTTTTATTTTTATTTTGTATTTTTTGGTTTTTCAAGACAGGGTTTCTCTGTGTAGTTTTGGTGCCTGTCCTGGAATTCACTCTGTAGACCAGGCTGGCCTCAAACTCACAGAGATCTGCCTGGGTCTGCCTCCTGAGTGCTGGGATTAAAGGCGTGTGCTACCACCGCCCAGCACCTGGCATGATTCTTAAGCTACATTGCTGCTGCTTCCAGAAGGTTTCTTTTACCACGTAACGAAGACATGTCACATCTCCCACCATCATCAGGAAGGCAGCAATTGTTGACACGTTCACAAAACCAAGATAAATCAACAGCCATTTCAATAAAAAGACATCTGATGAGTTAACTTCTTCTCTGACATGTTTTCTTAATATCTGATACCCGGCCATGTGCTGAGCATGAGAGAAGATGAACCAAGTTTCGTCATTTGTCATGCAGTTCTCACACTGGTATTGTTAATCCCCTGGTAGATGAGGAGGCTGAGAGGCACAGAGGTGACCTTGAGGTCAACTCCTAAACCCCAAGTGAAGTCGGAGCTCTACAGCTCCATAGCAGAACTTACCATCTTTTCAATCCTTCCAACTTAAAGCATTAATTTATCTTGATTTTCTGCAAAAGCCTGGTGACCTCCAGGTACACAGCCATCAGGACGAGGCCTCCTGGCTGGAGCTTGCTCCTAGGGTCCCCGGCAAACAGACTTCATGTGAGACAGCTCTCCTCCGAGTTCCCTTGAGGCTATTTTCTAGAGACTTCAGTGGTTTTAAAGCAAAACAAGGATTGGCTAACAAAACATTCTAACCCAGTTGAGTCATGGTTCCGTCCTCCTCGGGAGAGGCAGCCAAGTGCGAAGTCTGAGAGACTCAAAGGGCGAGCCCTGCTGCCCCTCCCTCTTCAGCCAGGCTGAGCTCCCTAAACAGGGCAGAGGCAAAGTCACGGCTGTTTGAGCACGTTAACAGGATGGCTCCTGGGAGTGATAAAGGCCAGAGAATGGAGGCCTGAGAGACCTTTGTGTCCTAAGCCTCTGACCCCTTTGATGAGACAGATGTGCAGACCGGGCACTCCTTCCCGGGGCAAGCTAGTCCTCATTAAACAGCGGGAAGGCTTCCTTGGTGGCAATGAACAGGCACATGCCTCGCTTCCCTGGCAGCAGACGGGATGGGAAGAGATAATCCCCTGTCATCAGGCCCCATTCCCCCTCAGGACTCCAGAGCTGGCTTCAGCGACATGTGGTCACCTTGATTGATGGTTGACCTTGGGAAGGCCAGCCTCTGACTTTGGCAGCCTGTCTCCTCACCATCAGTTTTTCTAGGTGGAAAGAGCTTTTCTGTCAGCATCCGTGAGCATCCCACCTAAGACGGAGTTTCTCGGGATGCCTGTGGCTCCAAGATAGCAAGAAGACAAGGAATGGGGGCCTTGGCCACTTGGCTGGCTTCCCCAGGATACTGAGCAGGTGAAGGTGGGAAAACCCAGCATGAAAACTTGCCCTAAGTTGGAGAGAGGACACATCCATCCCATACCCCAGAGTGCTGTCAGCCAGTCTACAGCATCATCACACCACCACCTTGCCAGCTCGACTTAATAAAGACAAAAGACATGGGCGTTTCACAACCATGACTCTTAAATCTGCTAGAGGTCATAGAGAGTTTAGGTAGCAGCCTAGTCGACAAAAACTGTACCTTTAACAATAACTTTCTCTACCTGGAAATGGGTGTGTGGGACATATTGACCAACAAAAAATTCGAATGGTTGAGTCTATAGAGGGCGAGAGTGCATGTGAGCCATGCTCAGTGAATAATAATTATGTCTAGTAGGTACAGGATGATTGTCAGAGGCCATACACTGCGCTGCTTCACCTACATCCACATGATGCTGAAGTGGACAGTACCACTGTTCTTTTTTTATAGGAGTGGAAAGCAGCCCAAAGAGGCTAAGTAACTTGCCTGAGACTTGACAGCTACCAAATGATAACACTTGAGGTTCAAACCAGACACACTGACTCCAGAGTGCATAACCTCATCATGATGAATTTAACCTGGAAAGCTGCCTGTAAGTAGAGGAATTTGTGCCTCACAGAAGAGGTTAATTGTACTCCATGTTCAAATTGGCTTTCAATGTGCACGTATTTGTGTAAGACACCTGAGTGCACACGTGTGTCTACACCATGAGCTGAGTGTGCACGCAACTCCCATGCCTCCACCCCGGCTCCTGGAAGCCAGGAGGACATGCCTTTCCTCCAGCAGCTTTTGTCCAAATCCTTGAAGGAAAAGAGTCCCTGCTCTGCCCAGAGGCCCCTGAGGGCCAAGCCAGTGCTGGTCGGGAGGTGGCGCTGTGTCACTTTCCTAGTAGGGAGCTTTTGTTTCTGCGGGCTGCCAGAGGTGGGGAGGCCAATTTCCCCTGATTTAAAGTCCCAGTCTCTCTGTCACTTCCTTCAAATGAGCTTGGAGGTGTTCAGCAGGTGACAGCCCTGAAAATGGGCCAAAGCTGTTCTCTTAATCCCGTCTCAGGGCGCACTTGAAAAGGGTGTTTCCAAACAAGTTTGCAGATTCCATCTGTCACAGCTACACTCCTCCTGACCCCTTGGCTCTCGCCAGAAGTGAGAGAAACACTCCCAACTTGCCCCACCTTGAAAGCAGCCTGGGCAGGGCTGTGGAGGAGACCCTGGCACTTGCTGGCTGAGCTCAGGCCCGCTAGGGGAGGAAGACTGCCCTCCCACCCACCCCTCAAAAGCTCCAGCTTTAGCAGGGTAAACCCCTAGATGTCACATCCCTCCGGGCTTGGTGGTCTTGCCTGATGCTCAACCAGTGGGGGTACTTCTCAGCACCTTAGCACGGCCTCTTTCCACGGGGTCAAGCAGCTCTTGGGCTCAGACAGCCTGGACTTGCCTGACACATTTTAACGGTACATCCGGGAGACTCTGAGGAAATCACTGTGGGGTTCTGAGCTTGTCTCATCTAGAAAGGGGACGACGGCAGCATCTACATCGTGAAGACTAATCAGGAAACACATACACTGAGGGTGCTCACCTTGTGTTGCTGCAGCTCTTTATGGAGAGTACGTGTTATTTTTAACCCTAACCAGAGAAGCTGGACTGGGACCCGTGCTGTGCCAAGTGCTGCTTTGTAGCTCTCTCTCCCTGGACCACACAGCTACTTCCAACTTACTTGTTAACACAGAGGTTTGTTTCCTCTATCCTTTGAAGATGGGGAAACGAAGCCAGTCTCAGTATATGTCAGCATCTTCATAAAGGGTCCCCATTCCCAAGTCTTGCTCCTGCCTTTCTAAAGCTCATCCCTTGGTGAAAATATATCCTAAATATTCTCAGGAAATCCTCCACTTTGCAGATGTGACAGGGATAGCAGTCGGCTAACACTTCCTTGTGAATTCTCTCCATCAGATTGCCTTCTTGATAACACGTGCATTAAGGAACTTGAGTTTTTATGGGGATGAAGGAAGATCCAAAGCACCAAGGCTGTGACTTCTGAGCTGAGCCAAGGGAATACCACCAGAAGAAGTTTGAAGAGCAGGTGGCAGCCTGATAACATGAAGTATGGGGAAGAGGCATCAGATGAAATGCTGGGCCCAACTACAGAGCAGGAGGGCAGCAGTGTTGGCCTTGTGTGGAAAGATCAGTGCAGCCTGTCTTTGTAGAATACTGATGGTCCCATTTGTCCCTTCCTCCACCATACAGCATTGATAGCAGACAACAGAAATGGTCAGCCCTTGGGCCTGACTCAGAAACCTTCCAGAAAGCCATGGAGTTAAGCTCTTCTTGACTCAGGTAGGCTGTAGTCCCGAGGGCTGACTTGGAAGAAGGCTGTCGCTCACATCGGAAGTGTGCACTCTCGCAGGCTAGGAGGCTGGCTAAGACCCACAAACAGACCCCAGGCTCGGGTGGAAGGTACATAGTACACTCCCATCCCTGGACATCTCCACGGAAGTGTCTTCCACTTTGAGAGGTCTGTTACCTGATGCTCTTGTCTCACTTTATGCCTCTGCTGGCTCCAGACCCAACCATGCTGGGCTCTCCCTGTGTCTTCAAGTCCTAAGTTTACTCCCACCTGCCAAGAATGACCTTTGTCCTGGTCTTCACTTGGCACTAAGTTCACACAAAGGTCACCTCATCAAGGAAGCCCATTCCAACTCTAGATGAACCCCACTCTTCTCTGGCTATCCGGGCGCTCACTCCCTGCCACATGCATTGCTTATGTAAGCAATGTATGTTCTGTGAGTCTGGAAGCTGCCCTCTTTCCACAGCCATGGGCCAGCAAAGGGTAGAGAGACTCAAATACTAGTCTCTGAGTGACTGGGTTCCTCTTCTTCCATCTGCCTCCTCATCTGTCACAGCTCTCACTTGGCTAATTTCCCCCTTCCCTAAGTCAGGCCCAGACTCTCAAGCCCAGGCTATAATTCCAGTGGAAATCACGATGGTTCTTTCCTCAAGCTTCTATAGTCACATTTTCCTTTCTTTCCCTAACTTCCAAAAGCCTTTCAAGGGGCGTCTTCATGGGCTCTGGCCCCTACCTACCTCTCACTGCTGCTGATGGGGTTCTGCTTTCACCCCTTGGCTGGCAGAGTTCCCACCAGTGGGGATCTCTCCAGTGCCACCCAGGTGAGGCATGGTGCAACTCTAGGGATCAGCGACACAGACAAAACTGTGGATGATGACCTCACCTCCAGAGACGTGCAATGTGCAGCGGGTATATCAACATCTGACCACTTGGTTGCCTTGCCCAGGGGTCACGATCACCAACCACTTCTTTTCTCAGTCCTCACCTGTGATTTCTAGGCAATGCACTGTTCTTTCTCTCCTTCCTAACTTGATGAGATGCTATGTCCTCCTCGTTCTTCTCCATTTCTATACAAATTTCACCTCCTAATACCTACGCTGAATACTTCTACTAGGCAAGAGACCCCAGAATGCATCTGTACCAGTGCCCAGCCCACTCTGCGTCTCTTGATCAGTGTTAAGAGTCTTAGTAGTAGGAACATACTGAGAAGTAGGGCATCATGGGTAACTCCTGCACCGTTTGCCTGACAGGCTCCTTCCACAAGCATCTTTCCCTATCATCAGCACATGGGCCCAGCTGATGAGGAAGCAGCTCCTCATATCGAAGACCTGATTGGCGAGAGAGTGAGGAAAACCATCCAGCCATAACTACGCTTGCTTGGAAAGAGACAGCCTGATTCCAGGGACTTCTTGGGTCAGTGACACTGTCACTGAGGAGGGAATCTGTACGCAGAGAGATTAGAACGAGCCAGTTCTGACAGGTACACAATAAAGAGCTGGCAGGGACTGTGAGCATTTCGGAGAGAAGAGGGGGAATTCTGACAGCAGCTTGACCTGGAAGCTGGGACTTTCTGTTTACACTTGACTTCCCCTGTGGATGCATGAGGGAAACTCACCAGGGAAGGTGAAGGAAGGAAGGGGGGATTTGTCATCCCCGGGCCCCACCTGCCAAGCTCTGGAGGAACAGTGCTGAAGACAGGAGATGTAGCTGAGCCCCGCTGCCTCTGTGCTGGCTAAAGGCCACCGAGTCTAACAGACACGTGTCCCTTCGTCTGTGAGTCCCGGACTCACTGTGAAAATTGCTTCCCAGAGAGCGCTGGGGGCCTTTGGAGTTCTTTCTATTTGTGCCCTTTTTGTGGAAGCCATACTTGAAGGTTTCCTGCCTCTTTGAGTCTACAGAG